AATTTGTACTATATCAAAGATTAAGCTAATAAAAACCAACTGGCATTGTCGCCAAAGTTCAAAAAAAAAAAAAATAATAATAATAATAGTCTAACTTGGTTAATCTTATTATAATAAAAAATTATAAATTTTCATTTTACTTTTTAGTAAAAAAAAAAAAACATAAATTCATATTTAATAAGATTTTGTATGGCTTGAATAATTAAATATCATAAAATAAATTTAAAATTTAAATAACTTTGAATAACAATTACAAATTAAAAGATAAATGACACTTTTATTTATTATTATTTAAGACCTAATTAATATTTAGGTTTATTAAATTTTCTTATTTTAAATTTGCAAGTAATACATTATAATTGCTTGTAATGCAAATCCATTATTTGGTTCTATATCTAATAATTCATTTGAATCTGCAAGTAATTACTAAAATTTTTAATGCTTTCTGAATATCTCATAATCTAACTAATTTGATTGCAAAAAAAATTATATATATTTTTTTTTCTTTACTTTTTATTTTTTTTATTTTTTTCATTTATTGAAAGAATTTGAATAACTAAACTCATTCAAAATGCTTGATAAAATGTAATGATATGACTGATATTTTTTTACTGCAAAGATGACAGCTCTATCTGAAAGACCATGTGCATAAGCACTCATAAGTCATTCAGATCGGCATGCAAACTGACATATCTTAGCCAAAGTAACAGAATTCAATACTTGCAAGATAGTTTTTTTGAGGCTTTTAAATGAATAACTATAATGTAAACATGTATATCATTTTACATTTCTTCAAAATGCTTCAATGTAGTTAAGCTTACAATGAAATTTGAGATATAAGATGCATATATGCCTAGCAGCCACAATAACTTTTTGTAAATAGTTTTTTTATGACATAAAATCAGGCTAACAACTAAAAATACAAGTTATACAACATTGCTTGTTTGTTGGATCAAAAATATGTAATTTATATGACTTATATTTCTTTTGTAAATTTTCTATTTACAGACCATGTTCCTCAAAAATATGTTGAATTCCTTTTTGGTTTTTTTATACTATTTTTATCTACAAATGTCATTATATAAACAGAGTCATCAGGTATTTTTCTATCTCTAAATAGAGATTGCTTGCCTCTATCTTTTAAATTCATTTGTGAAATAACTAAGGCATTATTAGCATATGCATTATGAGAGCAGCTGTTATCAAACATAAAAAGTATGGTTTTACTAGGGTGCATTTGTTCAAAAATTGGAATGGCTTTTTTAATCACTTGTTTTATAAGATCCTCATATGTTTACTAAATATTTTTATTAGAATCTAGGTATATTACAATATATGCCTCATTATATAAAATTCACTCATTATTGGAGAGAAGATCATTTATAACTTTGTCTTTTTTTGAAAGACAAAGATGCCAAATTAATTTGCAAATAAATTACTAACATGAATACTTAAACCTAGTGACTTTTATTGAATTTGGTATTTGTTTGCAAGACCTTATGTCTTAGTAATATCATTATTGATATAAAACACAGATTTATTATAAATAATTAGAACAATTTCAAAGACATTAGGTAGAAGGTTAGGTAAAACAATCTGTTCTATACTTTCTTCTTCATATGTTACTATTATAAGTCTTAAAACAGCTATTTGTTTTAAGAATTGATTTCTGTAAGCAACTATATCATCATGTTTGTAACTATTAAAATAAATATCTTTCGAATGATTTTTATAATCTTATCCAAGTTGATACAATTATATACAAGCAATTGTCTCTGAAAATTTTTTTTTCGATTCCAAAGACAGGTATAGCATCATTTTCAATAAAATTTATAAATTGGTTAACTGTTATTGTAAACTTATTAGTATACAAATATTGAATAATATAAGACTTAAAATCTTTGTGTTATAAAAGAAAATTGAATTTTGGATATTAATTATATTATAATTTATGAAATTCTTCTCTTTTTAATCACTCATTAGCCTATAAATATATTAATCTTACATGCCATGGACTTCTGTTAATACTCTAAAAAAGAATTTTACTAGCAGTTATTTTAGAAAAACTTTGTCTTCAACAAAGTAAAGAAATTGATTTATTGTATACAGGCATATATCATCTGAGTTGTTTTTTAACATAATATCTAATGACTTCAAGATAAATTTACCATCATCATTATTATTATAATCATAGAATAAAATATTATTACACTTATTATTATTTTTAATATTGTAAATATTGTTTATAGAATTTTTTGTACTGCTATCTGAGAGGTCAAAAAATCTAATTTGTAATCTTATTAGAGCCTGATGTAGCTTTTTTCAAGGTCACTTTTTTATTGCAAAGGGTTAATTGAACAAAACCTATATAAATTTATTTCTGTTCTTTCATTTTTCATACTTTCAAATGTTTTGCATTATTAATAAGTTCTTTTAATATACTTGGTTCAATACTTTTTAAATCATCTACAAATTGGTTATTATTAGGTATTTTAGAAGATTCATTTAATTTAATATTAAATTATTATTTTCTAATAACTATTTGACAATTTCTAGAATGCTTGCTTCATTTAAGCATCAAAAAATTCAAGATTATTGTAACAAATAAATGTCTAATTTTTTGTGTTATTTTCATACTTTATGCTAATTTTGACTATATATATGTACTTTATGGATTATATCAACTTTGTGGGTTATACTAATCTTATAGATTATATTAACCTTATAGTTTATACTGATATTGTAAGCTTTCTGGAATTATACTAGTTTCAATGAATTATCAGTCTTGTAGCTTGACAGCTTGGTGGATTACAGACTATAAACTTGGTTTTTATACTAACTTCATTTAATTATATTAGTTTGTATATTGTACACTTTAGTATGAAATTCAAGATATTGTACATATGTTTAGTCAAAAAAAAGTAAAAGTTGTCTAAAAAAAAGAAGAAAAAAAAAAACTTTTATAGACAAATTTGGAAAAAAAAAGTCAAATTATATAGGCTAATTTTGATTGTAATCTGAATAGTAGAACTGATTACTTATAACTTCGGTCAAATTTGCAGATCATTTGACCAGATTTGGAATCATAAAACTCTGGAATTGGCCAAATGATCTGCAAATTTGACCAGAGTTATAAGTAATTGATTTTACTATTTAAATCACAAATAAAATTAGCCGTGATGTTGTTGAAATTTAATTGGATTACTAAATTACTAACAGATAACTAACCAATCATATAACGTCATCCTATATATTAATGATTAACAAAATTTTCAACGGAGATCTACAATTGGATGTGATTAGGCCGTTTGCACCATATAATATAAAATTGATTGTATTTTTAAAAAATTGCTTATTAAACTAACTTTCGCGTTCCAACAAAAAAAATTCCTTTCAATATTTTAGTATAGATTCTTTTTCTATAGCCTACCTTTACACTAATACCACTCTAACACTAATTGACAAAAAACTATATAAATATCAAAATCATATAAACTAGTGAATTGAACCGAAAAAAATATACTCAATCAGTTAACCGAACCAGATTATTTTATGCCAACCGATTACAACTGGTCAAGATTAATAATCTCTACTTCTTGTTCTTACCTCGGAAATTTTCAGAGCTTCACTCAAATTTTTGGTTTAACCTTGTTCGATCATGCATATTTGATTTAGCCAATCAATATTGTAAATTTTTATCATGTGAAAAATATCACATGTGATTAACCAATAAAATCGTAAATTTTTATAAAGTAAAAAAGAAC